GAGAGAGAGAGGGAGGGAGGGAGGGAGGGAGAGGGAGAGAGAGAGAGAGAGCATAAGGTGAACAAAGTGAACTTAAAGCAGACACTAACCAGAGCTGCAGCAGTGAGGCAGACAGACTGGAACACTGGAGAACACGGTTATTGGCAGAGACGGGGTCGTTATAGGAGACATCTGTTCTTTATGTTTATGCATATAGTGCTGAAGCGCTAGTGGTTTTCACGATAGATTTGTCTGCCGACTCTCTCCTCAATAGTAAATGACGTAGAAATAGTGAACAATGTCCATCACAGATGACAGAGCTTCACTTGATGTCAGAAACCAACCGTCCCATCGTAGTGGCTGGACAGCAGAATACAGATTGTAATCGATTGATCAACGGATCCATTTTTCTGTTGACAAATCACTGAATTGGATAATTGTTGCTGCTCTAGTTTCAGTTCTGTTCTAGTAACTCAGCTGGGAGACAGATTTAACAGAAAGTGGTGATGCTAGATCCTCCCAGTCTGCACCGCAGCTTCCTGTTAGAACGTTGAACCCTGATGACATCACTGACCTCCACTGGTGTTCTCCGGCTCTGCCCCGTAGTGCTCCTCATAGTGAGTGTGTATTTGCAGATCTTGTGTCTGATGCTGGAGTACAACATCATCGAGAACAAAGACACCCAGCTGCAGATCATCTCCACCCTGGAGAGCACCCAGGTGGGCCTCCGCATGTACGAGCAGCTCTGTGACCGACAGAGAGAGCTCAAAGAACTGGTGAGTCCTGCCCCAACACGCATCACATTACATTGCATCACATTACATCACAGTCATTCAGCAGACGCTTTCAACCAAAGCGACTTACAATTCAGATTCTATCACATTCATTCACCGTAGGCACAGGAAGGGAGCACTTTTTGGGGGTCAAGGACACATCGACATGCGACTGGCGGAGCCTGAGCTGGGGATCAAACCGCCGATCCACTGATTGAAGGACGGCCCTGCTCTCCACTTAGCCACAGTCTCTCACACACACTCAGTACGTTATGAGGTACAGCAAGGCCTGAGGAGAACACGGTGCTGTGATCTCTGGCACCCCTGCCGTTGTGGTAGATCTGAACTGAGAACGTCTTGTTCCAGTTGGTCCCACATCTCTGCTGCGTTCAGCCTGTTGGAGTGAAGGGCTCTGCAGGAGAAAGAGAATCACCGGTTTCTCATTATGGACAAATATTCCCGTCTGACCTACTTAACAATCCACAATTCCAAAACAGCAGCTGTTAGAAGGCCCCAGCATGAGAGCAGAGAGCGATGCGTCGTGTATCCATACGTGTGTGTATGAGCAGCTCCACCTTCTCTGGTACCAGAACCTGAGCAGAGGGCTGCTTTCATTCCTCCACATGTTCCCCCACTCAACCCCGACACATGTGACGTCATGTTCTCTATGCACATGAAACACTACTGACTCCAGACACTACTGAGGCCATGTTGCACTTTCAAGCTGTAGTTGTATTTAATGTGTTAATAGACTTGATTGAACATACAGTCGTAGTCGTATAGCAGCACTATTTCTTCTTCAGACATTTTTCACTTTAAAGATTAGGACTCAAGACATACGAGTTGAATCTCCAAGATATAAAGCTGGTGACATGAATATCTATTAAATGAATATCTATTGTCTGCGTTGGTCTACTTTTGGAAGATGGAGATCCCGTTATCATGACTAAAGGTATAAGGCTAGATCTACCGTACCCCAGTAACTCTAGTGCTGATGTTCTAAAGGGTCACATCATGCTCTTCTTCAGGTTCACGCCTGTATTTTGGGTTCTAACTGGAAGATGTTTGCCAGTCGGCTCTGATTGGTCGCCGTCTTCACAGTGGATGGGCTTAGATATCATGTTCCTAGAACCATGTTGAGACTTTCAGACATGGTCTCCAGCGATGGCTCGATAGACTGTGATGATTCCCTGATACCAGAGACACAGCAGTGACTCTGCTCCGACATATGGAACGTATAAACAGACGCTACATTGTGCACAGAATCATGGAATGTGCCTTTAAAAGGGAAATAGCTATAAAACCATGCTTCTGTATCTATCATAATCATACCATTGTATGTTGATTCTAACACATTTTATAGCTTTAAATAACATTAATTACAATTATTAATCATTCACAGATTATGACCTAATTTCCTTAGCAAGTTTCCACTTAGCAGTAAAACAAAGAACAGCTGCTCAGTTCAGATGTCCAAAGAGAACGTTCTTCTTCTCTTCTCCTTTGTCTTTGTCTGAATGCAGAGAGAGACCATGTTTCTGGTATTATGGTGTGTTTGGGTGGAGGCCTCACATGTCCCCTTTTCCTGGATGTGACATGAATGCAGCATGCATGCAGCCGCTCACACACACCATCTACTGTCTGAAAATGTTCCTGCAAGGCATTGAGCTCAGACGCCATCTTTTTGTTTTCTGTCTGTCTGCTCCTCAGCAAAGGAAAGGAGGCCCGACCCGGCTCACTCTGCCCTCAAAGTCCACGGTGAGACCACGCCGATGCTTCACTGCCTCACACACACAATCATTTGATCCCATCAGAACATACTCGCGTTGGCTATTTCAATATGGAATGTTTATTTTCCTCAACATTTAGGATGCGGACCTGGCCCGCCTGTTGAGTTCGGGTTCTTTTGGGAACTTGGAGAACCTGAGCCTGGCCTTCACCAACGTCACCAGTGCCTGTGCCGAGCAGCTCATCAAGCTGCCCTCACTCAAACAGCTCAACCTCTGGTCCACACAGGTACGTACGCACGCACGCACGCACGCATGCACTAGTATCCAGCACTGATCCGACAGCTGTCTCATGTCCTCTCTCTCTGTGCTTTCCCTCCTTTAGTTCGGGGATGCAGGGTTGAGGTTGTTATCCGAGCATCTGGCCTGTCTCCAGGTGTTGAACCTGTGTGAGACTCCCGTCACCGACGCTGGTCTGCTGGCTCTCAGTTGTAAGGAAAAACACACACAATGAATCACATCACTGTCTGTAGGTGTTATTACACTTATTATTATAATATTAATATCGATGAAGGGGACATATTATGAACACCTTTTCAGTGCACACACATTTGTGTATCTGGAGTTTCTACCTGTGAAATAGACCTCCGGGTTGTTCTTGTCTAGATCAGAACGCATGGATTCAACAAGCCAATCAGATTTGGCTCACCTTCCTGGGTCATGCACGGCTCATTAGAACAGACCACCAGCTGGAGACAGGAGATGACCCGCTGAGTCAGTTTACTGTATCTGAGTCACGTTGGTTTAGCCCCGCCCCTTTAGGAGACAAGCGGCAGGTGGAGTTTAATAACTCCAATGGGAGAAGTGAACACAAATGATGTCCGATTCTTTCACTATATAGTTACCAAAGTAAACATCGAATCACAATCCTGAACATTCTGACACTCAAATCAGGAGGAAATGATCTTTGTCCGAGACGTCGCTCCGTCTCAGCAACATTCTCCCAAGATCGGGCGACTAGCGCTAATGCAGAATATGTCAGCTGAGTATATATCCAGTGTGAGGAACATGAAATACGTTAACCCAATCTGCTGTTTGCCTCTTTCAGCCATGAAGAGTCTGTGCAGTCTGAACATGAACAGCACCAAGCTCACTGCCGACACATACGAGGACCTCAAGGTAGAAGCACACACACTCAAACCAACACATGTCTACCATCGAACCCTTCGCCTAAACTGTGCCTTGAAAACACAATGCAACATGCATTTACATCTGCCAAATATGCATTCATATTTATATTGACCGATGAATTTACATGACTCGTGAAGTCAACAGGGGCTCAATATTCAGTATGAAGTTTCCGATCATAAAATAATGATCAATGAATATATAGTAAAAGCTGCATTAATCAATACTTTTATATTCACAAAGGATTCAATGAATGTGTGAAAACTGTCACATGGACATTAGAGAGAATGCAGCTTTCAGACACGGGGGCGACTCCTCTGGTTGTATAGAAGTCTATGAGAAAATGACTCT